GGGGATGCTTCAGGGGTCTTTGCATTCAGCTTACCACCATGCTAGACAGCTTTCCAGCCGCCTGACTGCTTTCGTAAGGAGGATTTTCCCTGGAGAGCTTGATGCCAGTCTGCCAAATGCTTTCCAGGGGGCTAACATGATGCCATAAAGGAAAAAGGGAAGAAAAAAAAAAAACATTTTCAAAAATTAGTAGAATAAGGTGGGACCGGTCTTGTTTTGGATTTACTACTACTTAGAAGATAGGAAATAGTGGTCCGAATTACTGTCCCCCAGAAATCTGTGCATGCACTGAAATGTTGCAATGCCAGGGATGGGTCACAAGCGAGCATCCTTTGCTGATGGTATTAAATTTATTTGGGGTCATCGAAGCGAAAGCTGCCTGCAAAGAAATACGGATGGTGTCACGATAACGAGAAACTCAATAGTAACGTAGCACATGAAATTCGACATTGGGTGCAAAGTAATGCCTGTGGGCAGGAGAGGGACTGGCCTGGAGCAGGTAAAAGCTAAATGATTGCTGTTGCTTATAATTCAGGAGCTGAGGGTGTCAGATGAAATTATAGGCTGGAAAGCTTGAAACCAAGTTCTTTTTCTGCAAACAATTAAATGTAGGGGACGTAGGGGATGTTACGTAGATTAAAAGAATAGATGGATCTGGAAGGCGGTGTAGGGCAGTTCATGGGGGAGACACCCATGAAGAGCTGTTAAGCACCAGTTCTGGCCCTGGGCCAGCCGTAAGCTCTTCTTACCAACAAGCAAGACGAAGGAAGGAGGGAAGGAGCAGGAAAAAGTTTAGAGCAAATTGCTTCATCGCATAACACCTTTCGAGCTCTGTCTTTAACAACTAAGTCACAGTGTCTTGAAATCCATGAGAAAAAGGGTAAATTTGTTCCCCAGTGCTTGGAAACTCTCATCATTTTTTTTATTTCCCTCATCAGTTTGCTTTAGACGAAGCAGCTTTCGCATCACCATAGCTGACACTAACAAACCTCCTTCCATCTGCAGACGTCTGATCGTAGCGAGAAGGGAAGAAAGCACAGAAGCACTTCTATCAGCAGATGTGAGCTCTGATTTAAACAACAGTAATTTTTTTTTTTGATCTTTAGCAGCATCTGCAAGTGCAGCATGCGGTATTTTTACTTAGGACGTTACCTTCAGTTCTCTGCGGCACACACTCTTTTCTTAATGTATGACTTGTATGCGCCAGGGCATTACCTAATCCAGGATAATTAGAAGAAGATTTTGGAGGATGGAGTTTGAGCTTTGAAAATCTGCAAAATAATTCCAGCATACTTGCATCCAAATTCTTCAAAACACTCAAAGATTTGATCTTACGATAGCTAATAACTTGGTTTTCTTTCGTGTATAGTGTTTTCTTTTTCTGTGCACCTTCTAAAAATACCTAAAGATCTAGGTCTTTAAAAAGTGTACTTAATGTTTTTGATCTCTTCCAGAGTATGTTACTCTATTTTTAGTTGTAAGGTCTTGATTAGAGTGTATGAAAATCTTTACCTGTGCGAGCAAAGTACATTATTGCAGAGCAGAGACAATGAAAAGGACTTCTGTGGAATGGAAATGAGGAAAAAAACTAATTAGCAAGTCTTAGAAGAACAAAACATGAGCACAGTTATTTAATGGGTGCTTTAGAGCAATAGGAGACTCGGTTGGGGAAAGACAACTCGCTGGCAGCACAGATGATGTGTGCTGCTGTCGTCTAAGCGCGATGATGAGCAGTGATGAGGGAAGAGCAGAACTTCTTCACTTTGCAGAGTCTGCACCTGCGGTACAACTTGTCTCTACCTGTCCCTATGCTTCATTTCTTATCTGCATAGCTCTTCAGCTACAGAAAATAATAGAATAATGAAACCTTTTATAAGACAGTCATTTCATTTTGAAATAGCTGCGTAGTACAGTCTACAGTGCAAGTAGGAACCTCATCGTGTATATTAATAAAGACTTCCAAGTTTATAAGGAAGGACAAGCTCTTTTGGGTTTCACCCTGAAACATCTTAGACATTCCTTGTAGAAAAGCCTGCGTCAAGCTGTTGACCCTTCCTCTTCTGCATTCCCTCATCATTTTCTAATGATGGTGTACACGCTGCGAGGGTTAAGAGCCTGCAGCAGGTCCCAGGCGCTGAATTCCTTCTCCCCACCTCTAAAAGGAGCCCTCTCCTATGGGCTCACCTAACAGAAGCAGCAGCTTCGTTAATTAGAATGAGCAAGGCATTAATATTATTCTCAAGAAGATGAGTGTGCTGACCAGGACAACAGCTCCTCATCCAACAGCAGCAGATGTGGAGGACTCGGTATCTCTGATGCAGTTGTATCCTCCAGCTCAGGAGGAAAAAAAAAAAAAAAAAGAGAAATATACTCTGTTGGATCAACAAAAGGCAAGAAATATGCTTCCTCTCTCCGTAAAGTCCTTCCAGATGGTAAGGCTTGATGTGCTGTCCCAGCAACAACTCCTGTGATGGCAGCTACATCAAAGAGCTCGTAGACAGGGAAAGCCAAATAGCGTCTCCCCTGTAATGAACTTCAGAATTCAGGAATGACAGAGAGGTCAACAGCAGCCCGTGCACCAAACAGCAGCAGCTTCAGAGCCGGAGAGGACTCCAGCTCAGGGCCACATTAATAACATTTTCCACCATGGCAGAGTCTACGCCCCGCTGCTGCAGAGCACGGATGGCTTCAGTGGGACTGTTCAAACACTTACAGTCACATAGATGATGAAGTGCTGCCTTGGAGTAGGGCCCAGTGGTCTCCAGACATCCGTTCTGGGGAAGGTGGCTGGGTGTTAAATCCTTATCTTGGAAATGTTTGCACATGGGGTGGGGCAGTGGAGAGCTTGCGGGTGGCAGCGGACATCTCTGGATCCAGTCCTTCTCCTGCTGGGGAGCTGAGTGTAGGGGCATGGCAGAGTCCTTGAAATTGGCTTCTAAATCACAGGTGGAGTGCTTTTTTTTTTTCAGTACTTAATTTCTTTCTGCAGAAGTAATAACTCTTTAAAACCACTCTGTCTTGCCCTCCTCATTCTTCTTGAAATGCTGCCAACATGAGCCCGGTTTCTGCAGGCATCAAAGGGCCTGAACACGACGGTGCTTGGCTCAGGCGCTGGTGACTTCTGCGTGTTTTATGGGAAAGGCTGGAACAGACGTCTGAGAAGATCTGAGGGTCTGTTAGTCCCTTAGGTAATGCCATACTGAGGACATCTGCACTTTTGTTTTTTGTATTTCCATTCCTCTGGTCCCTCACTGTGAATGAAGATGGCCCTCTGCAATTCTGCATCTGTGGAAGGGACCTCGTACTTGCTGTGGCCAGGCAGAGAGGGAAGCTCTTAGCTACTGGTATTCTTCAGCATTTTCTTTCAAGACCAAGAAAGATGGGTTAGATGTACTCCAAGACGGGTTAGATACGCTCAGCCCAGACTGCACAGTGCAGCTGTACCTCAAGCAGTGAGACTGGAGACATTGAGGTGGTCAGCTCTTAGCAAAAGGCAAGTAGATGTTCTCTGTTGTATAAACCGTGAGTGTCTTCCACACACAGGTACTGGGGGGAGAGGATCTGAGGATGAAGACAGCTGGATCCCCTGAGAGAATGTAGCAGTGTCATCCTGGTTGCAAAGCAGCTTAACCATCCCATTACGTTTTTACAGGACAGACCCTCGCAGAGCACTAACGCGCTGGTCGGTGGGGAGGAGAAGCAGCTTGATCTTCTTCCCGCCTTGCTAGGGCCTTTTGGAGGGACGTGGTCCGATCGGTCCTGTCTCCTGCACGGGTACAGTACTGGTCCAGGACTCCTGAAGGTGTTGTGCATAACTCCGACCCCGTCGTACTTCTGTTCCTATGTTACTGCCCAAATTTAGGGGAGACCAGGGGAGCCCTCATACCACAAATAGTCACTGTAGGGCTTCTCCACCGATGCGGTGGCTTTCCCCAGAGTTTGGGACAGTGCACGTATTGGCAGCGTTACCGGACAGCAATGTCTTTTTAGTATTTTCCGAATGCTTTCTTGGTTTACTGCGACTTCAAAAGCATCCTTAGGGCAGATGCTGCCAGAAGCCATCCCTGATAACAGACCTGGGACCATTTCCACTGGCTTTAGCACAGCCCTGACGGAGGTGGATCAAGCTCCTATGGGGCCACTTGCATTTCCCTGCAGCTCAGTGAGCAGACTGGATGCCAGAAAAAACAAATGATCCCTTTTCTTTCCTTCTCCTTTGCCATTGTTTCCATAAAAACGCTCAACACAGAGTAATCTGTGAAAAATAGCTGGTGATCCTTCACGTTGAGAATGTTGCATTTATCCTATGATGTTCCCGGGCAGCCGAGCTGGCTTGACACGGGACAGTCCCAGAAGTCTGGCTTTTGCCAAGGCTGTGAATGGCAAGAAGCAAACAAACTTCGCTTTCATCGCTGCGTGCAAGACAGCCGGGGGTGCAGCGGAGGAGATCCAGAGCTTCAGCCTGGAAACAGCCCCCCGGGAGCCATCCTTCCCTCTCTGTTCTCCGCAGAGTCACGGGCTGAACGGCAGTAAAAAAAAAAAAACCAAAACTAAAAGGCATTTCATCGCGTGTCTGCAAACTAGTCTTGTCTTCGTAGGGTTGGTGGGATGAGTGTGGTAAAAGCCAACGCTTCTCACTTTTTGTTTAAATTAGGATGCGATCTCATATAATAAGGACATGGGGATGTCTGCAAGTGCCTTGCCTTGCTTTTAGCCTATTTGCACATTTTAGGGGGGGAATATGGAGGATGGTGGTCCTGTCAAAGATTAAGTGTTGAAGTAAATGTCTGTAGTCAGCAGCTAGATGTTGAAGTTCTGTTGTTACCTTTGATGAGACAGGGTTGGTCTTAATGGTTCTCCAGGGAGGCTGCTGTCAGCATAGCCTTACCCTGGCAGTCCTGGGCAGGCGTCTTTTAAACATCCATTATTAAACATCCTTCTTTATTGTGGGGTGTTTTTGTTATTTTGTAGAATCACTGAATTCCGTAAACCTTTTTATTTCATCTGGGATCAGTTTCTTCCAGCAATTAGAAAGAAATAGTGATACCGTGGGGTTGGTAGGAGTATTGGTAGGAGACACCTGCAAATTTATGGGACTTGAGATGCTGAGTTTGCTCCTCTGGTATGGCACTGATCCTTTAGCATTGCAGAGCCGTTGCAAACGGTCATCTCTTGAGTGTCGTTTGGTTGGATGGACACTCGGTAGTGGTGATGTTACAGTCATCGGTGGGGTCTCAGCCCTGGGACTGCCAAGATCCGTTCTGCAATTTAATGCATTTAAAATTAGTGCATTGTGCATGAATTAATGCATTTATGCCTTCAATGCATATGAATAACTTCTTTATAAAATGTGGACTTCTGTTTCCTGGCTGCCCTCGTTGCTCCTAAACGTGGTTCCTCTGTGTCTCCGTTAGGTCGACAGTGACACAATTTGGAATGAAGTTCACTCGTCCGGTGCCGCTCGCCTGGCCGTGGGCTGTGTCATTGAGCTCGTTTTCAAAGTAGCCACGGGAGAGTTGAAGGTTGGTATGAAAATAACACTTGGCTTTGATATGGGCTCTGTAGAGGACTCTGCTCAGGGCTGTGTTATGCAGGAGGTCCAGTTAGCTTCATTTTAATGGCACCATCTGGCTTCAGTCATAAAAATCTTTGAGGATATCAGCAAGTGAACAACAGACTCCTGGTGAATGTTCTTACGCACCGATTAAAAGGAGGAAAGAAACCAGAGCAGCAAATGAAATCACTGTTGCAGTGTTATCTGAGGGTCTTGCCTTTGCCTTCAGCTGGGCCGGCCTGTTTGCTGTTTCAGTGACCTCCTGCAGAATTTTATTATTTTTTTTTTTTCCCCTGAATGGAAGGAAATGTTGTACCAGCCAGTTTCCATCAAATGCACGTGGACTTCCCCCCCCCACACACAAAACAGGGGAGAGCATCATCCGCTGCTATGGTCTTGTGAGAAGACCATCGAGAACAACTCCGTTGTTCCAAAGCAGAATTAACGCTTCTGGCTGCAACCTCTGCATCTGCCTTTGTGCAATGAACCTTCCTTTCTGTCTCACTTCTTCCTTTTCTTATTTTTTTGTGCGTAGAATGGATTTGCTGTTGTTCGGCCTCCGGGTCACCACGCAGAAGAGAGCACACCCATGTAAGTACGCGTATGTGCTTTATTAACTTGCTTCAGTGTTCATCTGTTGTGTGATCTGCAGCTGGAAATTAGAAAGGTCGTTTGTTAGGTTATCGTTACAGAATTTCTTGTTTATTGATATGTAAGATGGTATTCTATTCAGAGCTCCCAGTAATTCTCTGGAAGAGGGCAAGGTCCTGTTTAGTGATTTCAGGTGAGTATTTTTTAGCAAGAATCGACATTACAGACATGCTTTGAAAAAGCACTGATGCTTTTATTTGCTTTACTCTCGTGAATTGTTTTAAATTAAATGCTGATGGCTCTTCCAATGTGAGGAAAGCAAGGGTAGGCAACTAATAGTAGTAACAGCAAACATAACTCTGTCCTGGGGTCACAGCGCTGAATTGGGAGAGTGTCAGAGTGGGAAGGCTTTGCAAAGCACAAGCTGAAGTTGGGCATCTTGCATGTGTTTAATATAGCAGGGGGTTTGCCATCGAACTGTTTTCAAATCGGGGTCGCGTGCGTGAATCATGTTGGCTTTGCGTATCTGGCTTAATGTGTGCTGAAGTTTCGTGTCTTGGGGGCTTCAGCACTCGTTGGTGGGAGATGAGTGCTCGCTCCCAGCGTTTCGAGGCCTCTCTGAGCATGTCTGCTCCCTCCCAGCTGATGGACCATAACACTCTGATCCTGGGTCCTTTCCCTTCCTTTCCTCCTTACCACGTCCTCTCCCTGTCCGCTCCCGTCCCCTTCCCTCGCGCGCAGCACTGGAGGTCCCGGGGGCAGCTGACACCGACCAGCACCTGATTATTGCAGGGTTCGGGCAAGTGTGAATCATCCCCCATTTTCAGAGAGATCTCAGAACGCCTGCTGCTGCCTGGCTATGTTGTGTCTTTAATCCAGCACACGTGCATCTTCCAGGGAGAAGAGAAGAGTGAGAACAGAAGGAATTTCTTCCTACCGTGTTATATCTAGGTGATAGATGCATTGGGACCAAGGAAATCGATAGTTAACACCTCTCCTTTTTCTCTTGTCTCTCCCCTCTCATCACCTCCAGGGGTTTCTGCTATTTTAACTCCGTGGCAATCGCAGCCAAGCTACTCCAGCAAAGACTGAACGTTAGCAAAATCCTTATAGTGGACTGGGTGAGTAAATGTCAGTTCTTACCTTTCAGGAGGGCAGGTGGAAATCTTTCTGGGTTTTTTTTTCTTGCAAGGGCAAAACTGGCTTTGTAAGTCAGTGGAAAAAAAAAAAATGTTGCCTGTGGTCTGCAAACCAAAACTTGTTTTTTAAGGTTTGGGGTTTTTTCATTGAAGTGTTCTAATAAAAGGAAAATTTCTTAAACGGTCCACAGTTTTCAGAATAAAATTGTAATTAATAAGTAGTTGTTTTCTAAAACAAGCCCATAACACCCCTCTCAAGGCTGGGTAACTGCAAACAATGCTAGGTTTTGGTTATTTTTTTCTGAAGATTTTGACCTGAACTGTTATGATCCATCTCAGCTTTCTTTTCAAGATGTGAGGACCGGTTACGGAGAGGGACAGGTTGGCTGGCACGGCTTCACCATTGGTCTTGATGGTCTCGGTGTTCTGCCTCTGGGCCAGCACAGCCTCCGTGCGAGTGGGCAGGCCGTCAAAAGCGATGTTAAAATTGAAACAAGGCAATGAAATACTCGGCCGACCGCACGGTGGGGTTGAGAAAGAGCCTGCTTGGGATTTTGCTGTGGCGATGTGTAGATTTAAAAATGTGGCTGATGGTTGGGTTTTTTTAAATAGATTTAAAAATGTATTTATGTGACTGTGAAGGCATTTGAGTTGCTGGGTATTGGCCAAGGGTTTTGATTATATTGCCACAAATCTCCCATGGGCTAGACCCACAAGTTGAAATGGATGTATTTGTCTTTTTGACCTACTGGATGGACATCCTTTTCCTCACTTCCCACCAACTGTTTTTTATGTCAGGAAGGGGCATTTTGAATACCCATCCTGTTACAAACTGTGTTTCTACACCAAGTAGCAAGGTAATGGGAGGTCCGGGTAATGGGTTTGTATCATTTAACCTTGTTGGATCCAACACACCTTTGCTGGGCACTTGTATCAGTAGTCACCCCACAGACCGATTAAAGATGCAAATTTGGGGTAACTAATATAGCCTCTCCATCTCCCAAGACTGGGTATGAATCCTGTTCTGTCCGTCCAAGTAAATTGATCCTGTCCTCCGTTTTGATACACGCTTGAGATTACGTTTACCCCCATTTATCCCATATGTTAAACAAGGAGTATAACCTGAAGCCAACTGTGCCAAGCAGGTTACTCTCATTTGCGATAAACTTGCTTCAGCCAAATCAGAGAAGCGCAGAAAACGAAGCACAACAGCAAAGAAAACCCCTCGGAATCCCAAGTCGATGGCTTTAATCTGCATTTTTACTAAGGTACTAACCTCCCTCATATAATGCAATCTCTGTCCCCGAAGGATGTTCACCACGGGAATGGTACTCAGCAAGCTTTCTACAATGATCCTAATGTTCTTTATATTTCACTACATCGCTATGATGATGGGAACTTCTTTCCAGGCAGTGGTGCTCCCGACGAGGTAAGAACATGGATCGGCGTAGCATCCGTCCGTGTCTGATAGGACTTGCTCAGGGCTGTGATTTATTTAGGTGCCCCTCAAAATCTCAGGGAGCCTCTGCTATGCAAGGCTTAGAGAGAAGCTCCTGCCACCGTTTCCACGCTCGTGCTTGTTTGTGCCTCTTTGGGAAAGCGTCGCTCGGGTTTGTGTGTTTGATGTCTTCTCGTCCCGAGTCGTAACAGCCGTGGGCATTGTGTCCAGGCCGGCGGGCTGGCAGGAAAACGCGTGCCTTGGCTAACGAGCAGCAAATGAGTCAATGCAATTAGGCTCTCCGACCTTTATGAGACAACCTGTTCCAGAGGAGCCCTTTGCCAGCTGTCCCAGCACTCCATGTACTTTTCAGGATTTCCTCCTTATAGGCATAAATTGTTTCTTAGATGCAGGAGGAACAGGTTGTCCATGGCTGTGCCACCAGTGCTTGGGTTTCCTGGCACAGCCTTGGAGCCCGTGCATCCCCCCTTCTCCTGGCCCTGCTGAGACATCACTCGCCACTGCTGCTGCCTTCACATTTCACAGCCCCGACGATGGGATTTGAGCACCGGTTGCTGATGATGCTGGACCTAATCCACCGTTTCCTGGTGGTATCTTCAGAGCCTGCAGCAGAAGGGCTGGGCCAGTGAAATTGGGAGACTTTTCTCCCTGAACCCTGGATGGATGCTCCTACATCTGTTGCGTCCTTCCGGAGTGATTTATCGAAGGGAAATTATATGAAATACTTAGTTTTGTGTGCTCTGAGGCACTCCGGGTTACATCTGAAAACTCCTAGAGTTCTTCCCCTGTCAATTTTACATTTTCCGATTCAGCAAACATCGATGTTTCCCTTTTGATTTCTAAAGAAACTTAAATGTAATGTGATAGTGCTTCATTACCCTGTTTGTGTGCTACTGTTGTAGTGAATAAACAGCAGCCCTTTGCATCAGGCTTAATTTCTGCTTCAGGATACAAAAGGGTCTCAGAGCTACTTTTTTGCTGACTTTTTAATAGTCTAGTAATCCAGTTTACAAAATATCTAGTATTGTAAGGAAACACTAGACTGAACCATCTGCTCCATATTTAATCATTTATAGTAATTTTTTGATGTGTCATTCCAAACTGATTAAAACAAAAAAATACAAAATAAATTCAGTTAAAGCCAGAGATGGATAAAGAACCCACCGTGGATGGATGAACCCCCTGTGTTTTTTCTACCAGCAGCGTTCACACCGATACAAGGAAGATTGTGCAATAAAAGCCCTGAGCTTTATCGAACCTGAATTATCTGGCTGTGTATTGTATAACACACGAATTTTTTATTTTTTTTTTATTAATATGCAGAGACATAAAAAAAAAAAAAACCACAAGACCCAAACTGTGTATGTAGGAGCTCAGCGCCCTGTGTGGAGCTGCCGGTGGCAGGAGATATTGCCCGGCTCACTTGCCAGATCCCCAGGGACCCACAGCCACGGCCACCGTGCTCGGGCAGCCCCGAGGTCCCCGCTTGATGAAGGGCCTGAACACAAGTTTTTGGATTTCGATATAGATGGGGGAAACGTGGCCCTGCTTCTTGGCAAATGAATTACTAGAAACCCCTGGGGTTTATTTTTCAGTTTTCCCCTTTCTGAGCTGTTTGCCATCAGTGCGGACGGGGATGTTTGCAGGACGTGCCAGGATGGGGACGTTCTTATATTTACCACCCACGCGTCCCTCGAGCAGTGCAAATCTCTTCTCCGTGAATCATATTTTTCCCCAGCAGAGGGGGAGCTCGCTCTGATTAAAACCGTAGGGTTTTTTCCCCCTCGTGTTACAACTGTAAAGAAATATAAAATATGCTTCTGGATAAAGTTGAAAACGAATTAAGGAAAGGTATTGCATGTAACAGACTCTCCTGCAAAAGAAGAAAAGCATCCAGTTGATGATGAGGTGGTTTTTGGTCGGATACAACTGGTCCACAGCTCCCATAAAGATCAGAGCATGGAGGAGAGCTTTGTTTTCACGCTTGTTTTGGGGACCAGGTCATTTTAGAGGGAAAAATTAACCTCACTACCACCAAGCTGTTGAATCAAAATCCATATTCAACTGGAAGAATATTAGGACAGCAGAGAGTTTGCTGTTTCCATGTGTGTAATTAAGAGTACCGTCTCCTTTTTTCAGGTTGGCACAGGAGCAGGAGTTGGTTTCAATGTTAACATGGCCTTTACTGGTGGCCTTGATCCACCGATGGGAGACACAGAATACTTAACTGCTTTCAGGTAATATTGAAATTTTCCTCTTAAAAACCTATTTTTCACCTAAGTTTTCCTTTTTCCTTGTGCAGTCCTCCTTAATTTTGAGTTTCTCTCTTGCAAAGTTGAGAAATACAAGATTTACATCCAGTTGCAGTTAACTTTTTGAGTACCATTATAAAAATAAAGCCAAATTAAGTAAATAGGGTGTCTCTGGCCATAAGAAGTGTGCCAGTTACATTAGGGGGTTGACATACTCGCTGCTCAGCACTGATCGATGCATGAATGTAAAATGTTAACTGATATGAATAAGTTTTTCTGGGTTTGGCTAAAAATCTTTTTACCTCTTTGGGGTGAGTATTTCTATGGGTAAACCCACCTGGATGGGGAGGGGAACCCAGAAAAACTTTTTAACAAGTCATCATGAGTTGAAACTTGGGAGCGCAGCTGCCCCAAGGCTTGGGACAACATTGCTGGGCTATGGTACCCAATTTTTGGGGCACGCTGGCTGTGCGATCCCTCCCCTGCAAGAGTTCTGCTTCCAACTCGCACCACAGCTCACTCCCAAACGTACCTAGCAAAGGGACGTGGGCTTGCTTTGATAAGCTTTAGATTTTATTATTATTCACCCGAGATATTGAATATGCCTGTTCCAACCAACTGGAAATTGAAACGACTGAAGTGTTGGGGTTGTGCTTTTCTTACTGGGTTCTGGTTTCTTCTCAGAAGCAGGATGTTGTGTGTCATGACTAAAAATACAACCATCTCTTAAATAAGTGTTACTCACCACTCGCTGTCAGAGTGTGGAGGAAGGTAAGAAAAGCTGTGGAGTTGAACTAATGCGTTGCTGGGATATCCTCCTGGATTAGCAGTAATAGTAAAGCCAGGTACAAACCACTATGCTGGGCTGTACAAGCGTATTCAAGCGTGCTCCAAAAAAACTGGCATCGTTTGAGTCTCCAAATGGAGCAGGTTGTTGCCTCACTTGTTCATGTCCTACTGGTCTTACTGGCCTGCTCACAGAAGCATATGGTACCTGAGGATCACAGGGAGGTGTTTGCAGGGAATCATCTGATCCGATCCTTACTTTGCTCCTCGTATCAGCATCGTTACAAGAGGCGTGTGAGGCAAAACACACGTTAGCTGATCTACGGTCCTGCACGCTCAGCTGTGGCATCTCTGAGCGACGTCGCTATGGGAGCGCTGCAAAGGTACGGGTTGAACATCGTTTCGCTGCTTTGAGCAGCTAACGGGCAAAATACCCCAAGAAGGTGATTGTACGTCATTGGCGTTTTGGAGGCTTGCTGCAAGCCTGGAGTGATGCATTTGCCTCCCAGAGCTGCAGAGAGTGGAAAAAAGGAAGGTATTAAAATTAACTATTGGAAGCGGCAGAATAACAAGATGAAACGAAGGGAGGTCTCGGGGTAAAAGGACCTTGTAAGTAATGCGATAGTGAATAGAGGCTGGTGTGAGACCACACTTTCCTTTCTGATACTCTTTCCTGGAGAACAAATATAGTTCTCTGACCTGCCAGATATACAGGCTTTCTTTTTCTTCGAGACTGTCCTGTTCCACCCTGTGCCTCCCCTGTGCTGCGGGTCCATCCTCTCCAACTGGCATCTTTTTTAACAATTAGGGGTTGAAGTGGTTTTCTGTCCCTAAACCAGATTTAGCACGCTTCTGGCGACCACCCCACATAAATTCAGGGAGACACACACTTGCCAAAACATGGGATGCGAATTTCTGGCTAGAGGCAAATGGAATATCGCCTTCGTGGAATAGCATTAAATCTGGGGAGCATTATTTTCTGTTCTTCCCTATGAGTGTATTTGTATTCCGTTATACTGAGCAAAAAGAGTTTTTACTCTTCGGCTTACCATTAAAAAACCTTCAGAAAATGCGTACAATTTAAAATAACATCTAGTCAAATCACTGTCATTCGTCTCAATGTTTTATTCCTGTTACAGGAAAGCAGCGCTTTCCTCTAAAGTGGAAGTCTGTTTATCCCAGCAGTCAACAAGACTGATCTCTTCATTATAAAGAGAACCCGTAGCTCGTGACGGAGTGACATACTTGCTATTAAATATTAATTGAGTTTCAAGGCTTCTGGAAAATTGCTCAGTCTGCACAGCAAGACCTTTGCCAGCCATTCCTTAATAAGCACTGATGTCTTTTTTGCCCGGAAACTCCAGCTATTTGGGGAACATATTTTGGAGCTAGTCACAGCCCTTATTTTTGCCGGGATTTTGAGAAGCCAAGGGACGTTGTGACTCGTCCTCTTAGGTAGCACCTCCTGTAGTCTGCCCCATGTGCACACCTTCAGTCCATAAGTTAAACTGGAAGCTTTTTTTTAATCTTATGCCAAGTTTGGTCATGATAATACATTATCAAGTGACCTTTTTAAATCTTAACCAGCTTCTTTGAAAAACATTTTTTTTTCCCCTGAATCTTTCTATTGATTTTAATGTAAAATAACGCTTTGAAGTTTGCAATTTATAGTCCCCCGAGAGTTAGAAAGTGAAGGGAGTGGGTCATATATCCTTTTTTTTTTTTTTTTCCCTCTTCTTTTCTTGCGTTGGCCCCTTGAGACAATGCATGCCTTCAAGGCAGCACCTTGTTATTCCACCCCATCGAATGCCACGTTGCATTTGCTGGGGATCAAACCTAAGATGAAGAAAAGATAAGAAAATTGGCCATAATGAACTCCAGAAGCAGCAGGCATTTTCACCATGAACTTGGAAACTCACAGTGGAGAACTGAGCTTTAATTCAAACCAGTCCAAATGCCAAACTGTGAGGCTTTGAAGTCTGTAGAGGAATCAGTGGAAATCCTTTGAGCTAGGCAAAGATACTGATATACTTTTTCTTCTTTTTTTTTTTCTTTTTTTTTTTTTTTTAAGCCTTAACTGTTCACATGCTTGTCTGCTTTTAGGGAAGAAAGCCCTCTTTCTACATAAAATAAGCAGAAGAAAAATAAGCAACATGCTTTTTTTTGGTTTTTTTTGGTTTTTTGCTTCTATTTCGGGATGAGCTGGTGTATGGATTTGATAAAAGCATGTGCTCTGATGAAATAATAACTGAGATAATTGTCCTCATAAATCAGTCGTCTGATGAGTGCATAAATAAATCCCAATGAAACCTATCATCCCCACGCTGCAAACCTGTTTCAATGTTGTTTTACCCGTTCTGAAGAAAGGATGGTCACTTGCATCAATGATTTTTCTACTGAGAATTTCTTCCACAAATATTGGCTTCCCTTTGCTTGCTGTACAGCGTTGGGTTGGACAGGACGGCCTGACCTCTTCATGTTTATTAATATCGCCGAGCCATTTCAAAAATGAGAACAAGAGTTAAAAACGCAAAGCAGAGAGCAGCCTTGCCGTGCACTTTGTCGCTTATTGTCTTCATAACCGAGGGCTGAAATCACTGACTGCCCCGTCTCGAGGTTGGGGTGATATCATGATTGCGATGTATTTTATTTGGGGGGGTCGGACGGACAGACAGGGTGGAGTCACCCCAGTCACTCATAAGATGTGCAGAAGGGATTTGGGGAGTTTGCTGTCAGCTTGGTGCTCCTCCACCCCATCGTAGCAACGGCTTTGCCTGCCCAAGACAAAACGACATTATAATTTAGCCAAGCGTTCGCTGGGCAAAGGTCCCACGGCTGAACTCACCGCCAAAATATGTGGGCAATACCGATTTCACAGATTAGGCAGAAAATGTATTCAACTCTAATGTGAAAAATGCAGGGGCATATAATTTTAAAAGTCCTTAACTCATCAAAATGTTATTGGTATTCATCGCTGTTATTCTGTAGTTATAGAAACAAACAGTTGTAAAATACAAGTTATTTATTTTTTTTTTTTTTTACCAGGGCCTGTTGTTCCCTAACTTGTTATACAAGCAGAAATCGTGTTTGCTTCTATAAATCCTCGTGACACTTTCAAAAGCAGAGTGTGCAAACCCGGCTAAGAGACCCACAGAAAAAAATGCAAAAACTGTGGCTAGTTCCTTATTACACGAGAACAGCAATGACTTAGTGAAATTAAATTGTATTAGCCACAGGAGTTGTCCTCTGAATTTACTGAAAGAAAGTTTTCCTGATGATTCTAACAGTTGTGTTGTCTCATACAAATTTTTTTTCCCCTACCCTGAGGTCTCTTCCGCAATTAGAATTCCATAGACAGCTTGATTCCATGTTAGTTTGCTTTTTCATTTAAAACACCTAAACCAGAAGCAAAAGCCAGGACTGTATTTGAAACGCCTTTCTCGGAAAGCTTTAAATGACTTCAGGAGCCAATTTAGGGGAGGGGGATTTTGGTTTTTTCCTTCGATCCATAAAGCATTTCAGGAGTGAGTAAGAGGGAGGAGGGGGAAGATGATGATATTTTGCCTGGAACGGTGGTTTCTGTATTTTAGATTTCATGCTCTCCCGACGCTGATTTCGTCCCCAAACTCCTAATCCCTTTTGACATAGTAAATGACCGTGGAGATGGCTGCTTGGAGAAACAAAGACCAGAGTCTTCAGGAGGCTGATTAGCCTCAGGAGCAGCG